AGCCGTTTCCGATGCCGAAGTATTTTGGCAGGGAGAAAAGCTGCTGACGCGATGAGAAATGACCAAAATGTGATTTACTGCCAAAACCTGGTTGATAGGGCGCCCTATAGAAACCCATACCTAAAGGTAGTGGGAATTCGGCTTTTAACCCCGGGAGGGATAAACTTGAATCGCCGTGCCGGCGCTTTAATCAATCAACTTGATTTCTTATCTTCTTTTCTTTCTCTGCTTACTGGAGCCGGCGGACCGCGAAAAAAACCTTGGATTCAGGTAACAAATTCCCTCTCTTTTCCCTCTTTTTCTCTCTTTTTCTCAACTTGAAAAACTTCAATTCCTCGAGACATAAACCATAAGCCCAAAGATCTGGTTCAAGCACGAGGCCGCGCGGTGCCGGACATGCCGCTGACATACCGCTGAGACCAAACAAGCCAAACACGCTTCCGTCAGCGAAGGGCCGGCTTGCTGGGACGGAGCAGACTTGCTTTGAACCTAGGGATAGCTCAGTTTGGCATATAACTGAATGCTTTTTGACAAAATTGTCTTCAGCCATTGATACAAGAGCATATTAGATATTTTAGAAGTATTCGAAAAATATTTTGAACTCTGGCACTTGTGGTCTTTGCCTTTTGTGCGGTGCCATCAGTTGTCAGGGAAAGTTGAGCTAAGACCATGTTGAGGTGGTACTTTTTGATATAAAAGCGGTACCCAGCTCTTCATATAGAGGTGTACCTCGACTTGACTTTTTCTTTGTTGTCCCAAACTCTTGTCCATTCGACGTTTTACGCTTCGGAAATATGGTCACACGTGTGACTCTGCGCCTAAATGTCACTCCATGACTTGGGATCTCATTTGATCCCGCCCATCAGGTACTGTCCAGAACGGACGAGCGATAAGCCACCGAGATACGAATCCCGGAGGTCCCGTCGAGCCGCCAAGCCCAAACGCGCACCACCCATGCGAGAAGCCACCAAACCGCGACGGGTCAGCCACGAGTGGTACGGGCATAGCAAGTACGCGCAAAGCCACCCAACGAGCCTCCAGCACTAACGCGTTCCGCACAATAGCCAGCCAGCCACTCGCCGCAGGAGCACATGTGGCGCTCGCCAGCCACCCAACGAGTCTCCAGAGCACGAACGCGCTCCGCACACTCGCCGCAGGAGCACAGACAGCGCTCGTCAGCCACCCGACGAGCCGCATGTCAGCCGCCCCCAGAACGCGCCAAAAGCAAGCGCAGGGGTACATCCACACCGCGCGCGTCGTTACAGCCACTGACGAGAATGGCCGCCCCCCGACCGAGCGCGCGCGCGCATAATAAACAACGTCGCGTGGAAACCTACACGGCGTGCGCCTGCACGCTAAGCACGTCTGCCTCTGGGCAAAGAAGCACGGCGGTATATGTGGCCGTGCACTGCCCAAGGATGCGCCACACCGCGCCAGGCACACGCAGAAACCGCGTCTCCCGCTTGGGGCGCGCATGCAGGCCCAACTACACCTTCCAGATGCGCGTTCAGAGGATGTGTGCATCGAAACAAGTGGTACGCCGACCCCCGGCGAGTCGCGGACGCGCAAAAGACCGGCACGTCCCGCATGCGCGAAGGGCAGGCATGCCGTGCATTGCATGCAGCGCCCCGCCCGTCCCGGTCACAGTGCGCCTGCTTTCCCTCTCTCCTCGGCGGTACGAGCCCCAGCGAACCACACTGCATACTCCAGCGCACTCGGGAGCAAGCGACCCTCCCAGCGCCGGCGCTCTCTCGTCCGGCGCTGGATGCGCCAGATCTGTCTGGTGTCCGCCCGGCGCCGTACCTGTGTCGGCCCCCTCGCCTCCCAGCGCCCGACCGACGGCGGATCATGCCAGGGACAGGTGCGAGCGGAGCGGAGGGCGCATGCGCCGCAGCGAGGGTGGAGGGTGTATGCCCCGCAGCAAGGGCGGAGAAGGGCACAAGCACCTCGTCTCCCATCGTCAGCCGCCTCCCAGCGCTCGACGGATTGGGTGCGGAGGGAACGGCGCATCCATCGTCAACCACCTCCCAGCGACTGACCGACGGGGCGCGCAGCGGAGGGCGGCCGCAAGGGAGACCCGGGTCCGAAAGCCAAAAACGAAAAACATGGAAGCGAGAAACGAAGAAATATAAATAAAAGCAAGAAAGAAAGGAGCACGCGGAGCGTCTCAAGGAAAACAGGGCGCGCGCACGCAGCCATCGATGACGACGGGGACGACGTCGAGGTCAGGGCAAAGACCGGTCGACGAGGGATGGGCGGGATAAGACACGGAAGGCGATCAGACGGGTCCGCCTCCACCAAGAAGAGGCCCCCCACCCCCAAAAAAAACGCTCCCAAAAAAAAGCACAGACGAACGAAACCGAAAGCAAACGCACCTCCCCCCAGGCGCCGCCGCTGTTCGTGCCTGCCCTGCTCATGGCCCGAATCTGCGCGCGCGCACCAGTCAGCACCTTTCATGCAAAGCGTACCGGAAGAATAGATAACCTACCTCGCCGCGCGTCCGTAGTATTATCCCCGACAGCAGCACCGATACCACCGCTGCCGCTCCCCGACGCGAGCGCCGTGCGCGCATGCGACTGGTGTTGGACGTCCGCACCGCGCGCCCGCGCCCGCGTCCGCCTTGCCACCGCAGCGGTCGACGGCGAGCTCGCAATCGACGTTGAGGCCGAGTGGGAGGTCGAGTTGGAGTTGGAGTTGGAGGTCGAGGCAGCGACGAGCGCGGCGCGCAGGGACCCGAGGCCGGTGCGCACGAGGTCCACGACGTCTTGTCCCGCGATGCCATTGCTCATGTCGCGCGTCGTGATGCCCAGGTCGGGCTTCGGGATGCCCATGTCGGGCGCTGCGGCGCCCTTCCCCGCAAGCTGCGCCGCGACGTCCACGCGGTCCCGCGTCGCGACGCCCACGAGGTCCCGCGCCTCCATATCGCGCCCAACGAGGTCGACGACGTCTCGCGTGACGCTGTCCGCGACCTCCTGCGCCATGCTCTGGAGGACATCGTCCGCTGCGCTGTCGATGTCCACGAGCTCCTGCATAGTGTTGGCGACAACATCCTGCGCGCCGCCGTCCGGTGCTGCGGGTGGAAGAGGTTAGTTAGGTCGTATGCAATACAATAAAAAAATAATAAAGGCGAAAGCGCGTACCGGGAGTAGTAGTATGAGGATGCATCCTCGACCCCGACCCCGAGCCGGAAGAATTGGAGGTGGAATTCGAATTCGAATTGGAGGTGCTGCTGCCACCTACATCTGAAAAAAAAAAATACGCATTGTCAGGAAAAGGGGCCATTTACAGCGCCACGACGTACCCAGCGCGGCATGCACGCGCGCCACCGCCTCCGACATCATCTCCCCCGTGCGCTGGCGCAGCGTGTCCACGTCTATTACGGGTCGTCAGCCATCCTTCACGCTTTGAATAACAATTCGAATTGAACTCACCCATCTGCGCCCCCGCCACCTTTCCATCCGCAACAGCGCGTCCCAGAGCCTATCGTACTCCTTCTCCTCGCGCGCGCTGAGCGCCCGGTCCGCAGGCAGCGCGGGCGCGCATTCAAGCGCGAACTCTCGCCGGCCATCGTAGAATACTGCGGGGAAATTTGAGGAGGTGAGCGACGCGCGGGCAAATGCGAGGCGCTCTTCGGCGGTAAGGGGGTGAGGGGGCGGGAGGGGCTGCTACTCACCCAAATCGCGTTCCCTCCCCTTCCCCTTATCCCTCCCCGGAATCCTTACCTCACCCTCCTCCTCCTTCACCCACACCCGCACATCCCCGCTACCCGCGCCCCCATTCCCACTATCTATCCACAACCTCTGCTCCTCCTCCTCAATCTTCACCCTCCGCTCCCCCACGGCCCTCACCACCCTCCCCAAATCCCACGCATCCTCGTCTCCCACGCCCACCTCCGCCCCGCCGACGTGGAACGTCGGGGTTCCCCCGATGTTGCGGAAGACGAATTTGACTGCGCCGCCTGGCGGGGCGCGCGAGACGATGTTGAGAGGGACGGGGATGTGGAAGACGGGAGCGCCGCCTATGGTCTCGATGACGATGGTCGTGCGCTGCTTCGGGGGGTGCGACCGCGAAGCGGGCATGGTGGCGGAGGAGAGGAGAGTTGGTGGACAGACGCGTGATCGTGATCGTGACAGCAAACAATTACGGGTTCGGCTTGATCCGGCATCTTCCGACGCAAAGTTGAACTATGTTAGCTGAATGGCTGTCAATGTTCTGAGTAGTATTTGCCGTGATTTACACTGTGTTATTTTCGATATCAGAAACTAAAAGTTCAGAGCATTCAAGTTCAAAATTCTAATAAAGAAAAACAATGACCCAACCCCGAGTTGAACAGGGATCTCCCACAGAACACCATATGAAACAGTAATGCTATGCAGGCGCGTTAACCAACACACCACCGGATCGTATTCTTTTGTAAAGCCAAATAAACCTCCACCGACACTTCAGTGATTCAAAATACAATGACAGAAAAAAAGTCATGACCCAGCCCTGATTCAAACAGGGATCTCCCACATAGGTTTATTAATTCAAACAGACAGCATGCCGGTGTGTTAACCATTACACCACCAGGTCTATCTTCCTTCCAAAATCAAAAGAATTTTCATGCAAACATAAATGGTTCAAAATACAGTTCCAGAAAACAAAAGAATGACCTACATATACCTCTGAGTCAATAAGGGATCTCCTACAATGCTGCTAGAAGTACTGGAAATACAGTAAACAAGGCATGTTACCGCTACACCAGTAGGTCATATTTTATCCCCAAACCAGATGAACTTCAACCCACACTTCGTTAGAACTAAAAATGTAATTCAACAGCGGGAAAAAAGTAATGGCCTAAGCCCTGAGTTGAACAGGGATCTCCTGCAAAAGTATCGGCGAGGAATATGTACAAAATGCAGGCACGTTATCCACTACACCACCAGATCACACTCCCTTGTAAAGTCAAATGGATTGTTGGGTGGATCAAAAAATCGAATATGATGGATCAAAAAAAAAAATGACCTAGCCCTGAATTGAACAAGGATCTCCCGCAAACGATTTCGCTAACGGCCACAACATGCAAGTATGTTACCCATTACACCACCAGGCCCTATTCCTTCCAATCCAAATGGACTTCAACCCACACTTGGCTGGATCAAAAAATCGAATTTGATGGAACAGAAAAGAATGACCTAGCCCTGAATTGAACAGAGATCTCCTATGTACGGTTTCACATGTAGTCTGGACTTCCAGCAGGTGTGTTAACCATTACACCACCAGATCATGTTCCATTTTGGACCCAAACAAACAAACTTCTACCTACACTTGAGGTCAAATTGAACTGCGTGATACACGCTGCAGGCCTTCCACGGCCCTCACACAAGTTCCTGTTCAATCCAAACTGCAACCGACTCTGTATAAATCAGAGAACGCCTCATCTAATGCCCAAAGATCGCCATGGGCCGGTAGGGCTCCTCCAAGAGCTTGATCTCCTCCTCAGTGAGTTTTACATCAATCACGCCTGAAAGATAAATAAATATCTCAGACTCACCCTGACTTCTCGAAAAAAAAAATCAGGAGGAACTTACCAACTATATCCCTGAGATTCTCGAGGGAGGAAGTGCCGACAATCGGTGCGGAGACAGCTGGTTTCGTTGTGAGTGCCAATGCGCAACGAACCAGAAAAATAAAAATAAAAATACCGACTTTTCTTAGACAAAACCCACGCGACGGAAACCTGCGCCATGCTGATACCGCGTTTCGCCGCGACTTGTTCGGCTCTATAAGTAAGTAAGTATCAACAGCGGCGCATTACACGGGTATTGAGATCCTCGCCTTCTCACCACCTCCTTGTTCGCGTCAGAAGAGACATAGAAGGTGGACGGCAGCCTAGGAATGTATTCCGTGAGTCAGTGCTGGAGCTCTGCTGCGAGGACATGGACGCACACGTCGGAGCTCCCGCGGTTCGTATCCGTCTGCTTCGCGAGGGGGCGCGAAAGCGCGCCACGGGCAAGCGGCGACCATGGGATGGAACCGACCCCGAACATCTGTTCATTATGCCAATCAGCTATCCTATATACAAAAAGACGGTTTGACAGAAAATCACATGATAAATCACGCGCAATGCAACGGCGCAATTTCGGATTTCGGAGTTTCGGAGTTTCGGACATCTATAAAAAGACAGTTTGACAGAAGATCACGTCACGTCATGTCGGGAACCTCCGCCGCTTGCTGACGCTTGCGGCGGTACGTAAACATTTCAGTTTTCAGAGTTTCCGACGTCAGGTTCACGGAATTCGCCGACATGTCGGGAACCTCCGTCGCTTGCTAACGCTTGCGGCGGTACGTAAACATTTCAGTTTTCAGAGTTTCCGACGTCAGGTTTACGGAATTCGCCGAGAATCGCTGGGCACAACCCTGAACAATTATCGCTACCCGAGATGGCATCGGATAATATCCCGCCCTTGCTCTCTCCCTTCCCCCTCATGTTCCATGCTCAGGTATGTACTCTTCCCCAATAATGCCTCCCAAAACCTAAATTTTTTGGTAGCCCCAGCGTATAATTTCACTCTGTGCTGCATTTATTATTGCTTTCATTCTCCAAATGTATATATACACTCCTGGCTGAAACCTGCACCGCTCATTATCTCTTCCAGGGATCAAACTCCTCCCAATACCCCCCAACGTGCACGGATATCAGCTCAGACACAGGAACGTGATGCCCGTTTGCTTGATAGCCCTGAGCATCGTCGGCAACCACGACCACCGGTGTTTCCCCGGCCTCAAGTGACTGTTCCTGTGCAGAATCCTACAGGGGATGTGTTTGGTGGGGGTCCTGTTCGTAGATTTCTGGAAGCATTGAATGCTCCTCGAGAGCCAGGTGTTCCACCTCCAAGGGCAACTCCGAACACAGTTGCAGCAATGCAGAATATGATAGCTGAGCTAAATGCTCCCCGGCCCTTTGTGCCTATAGCTCACAATCCTAGACGGCCAGCTCCAGCTCCCTTTCCAGCTCCAGAACAGGTACAGGGACCTCAGCAACCCATAATACCTGCTACTGCAGCAGAAGTTGAGGCAAGATTGGCAGAATTAAATAATCCGAGGGCTTTTGCCCCACAACGTGGCACACAAATCCCACCTCAGTTTATGCCTATCCCTCCTGCTCCCCCCCAACCTGCTCCCCCCCAACAGCATGGCAATCCAGAACCTAGGGCAGATTCTCCTCCATTTCCAGATTTTGTAGCTATCAGAGATTTGCCAAGATATTTCAGGCCTGCTGCTGAGGCCAGCACACCAGCACATAATCTTGGGTCTATGGATTTGATTTGTTCCAAATGTGGTGCACGTCATTGGAAGGCCGAGCATCTCTCCAAGTCCACAGTGAATAATCCTCTTTTTAGAACCTGCTGTTTGGATGGCAAGATTCAGCTCCCTGCTATACGAGCCCCACCACGAGAGTTACTGGAGCTTTATAATGGCACCAGTCACTATTCCAAAGAGTTCCTAAAGAATATACGTGCCTACAATGCTGCATTTGCGCTTGCCTCTCTGGGAGTCACAGTTGACAAAAGTGTGCTTGGTGGTACCTCCCCATATGTTTTCAGAATTCAGGGCGCATTGCATCACAAAGTTGGGTCTTTACTTCCTGAGGAAGGACAAGAGCCAATCTATGCACAACTCTACTTCTATTCACCAGAGGAAGCCAATGCTGCTCGGATGCGTCGGAATCAGGGACTCAATTCCAACTCGGGTTTGAAGCAGGAAGTAATGAATATTCTCGATGATGTGCTCAGGCGAAACCATGCCTACATTCCTCTTTATAAAACAGCCTATGAGCGGATCAAGGAACAGAAACGAAATCACCCCAATGCTCCATCTGAGATTTATGCACGGATTACCTGTGAGCCTGGGACAGATGCACGGCGCTATAATGCTCCTACAGCCAATGATGTGGCTGCAATTCTTCCAGGAGATGGATCTATTGTTCCAGATCATCGGGACATCATTATTCATGAGAGAGGAGGTCCATTGCGTCGCATATATGAAACTCATCCAAGTTACCAACCCCTCCTTTATGTGCTGTTGTTCCCCTATGGGGAAGACGGGTATCATCCCAAGATACCGCTAGCTCTGGAAGATGATGCTGATGACGAACCCTGGGGTGAACGTGAAGCTGAGGAAGGAGTGGGGAACCAACACAAAAGGCGTCGAATGGTTACACTGCTCGAATATTACGCCTATCGCCTTCATCAGAGAGTGACAGACTCAATTCATATTTTCCAGTCAGGGCCTTTATTGCAGCAGTGGATTGTAGATGCCTGGGCAGCCACAGACCAATACAGATTAAATTGGCTGAGAAACAATCAAGCATCCCTCTGAGTTGATTTGTATAAAGGATTGGCTGATGCGATTGCCAATGATGTGGGTGCACAATTGGGAAATTTGGGCCAACGATTCATCCTACCGTCATCTTATATTGGTGGATCAAGATTCAGGTTTCAACTATATCAAGACTCAATCGCTATTGCACGCTTTTCAGGAAAGCCAGATTGGTTTTTGACCATGACAGCGAACCCCAATTGGGATGAAATCAAGTCTGCACTTCTTCCAGGGCAGTCAGCATCAGAACGCCCAGATTTAGTTGCACGTGTCTTTCATGAGAAGGTCCGTGTCCTGATAAAGTACATCAAAGAAGGAGCCTTTGGGGAATATGCTGGAGTAGTCTACACCATTGAATTCCAAAAGCGGGGCCTTCCACACATACATGTCCTTATTTTTTTAACTCCACGGGCACGCCTGAAACGAGCAGAAGATATTGATCGGGTCATATCTGCTGAAATACCAGATCCTGCAACTCACCCAAGATTGCACCACTTGGTGACAACCCTGATGATCCACAGTCCATGTGGCGAGCACAATCCAAATGCACCTTGCATGAAGAATGGGAAATGTTCCAAGGGTTATCCCAAGCCATTCCAAGCAGAGACCACATTATCTCAGGATGGCTACACCCTATATGCAAGACGTGATAATGGGCGGCATATTATTAAAAAGGTCAATGGTAAAGACGTCATTGTTGATAACCGATGGGTAGTTCCTCATTGCCCAAGGTATGTCTGAACTTTTGAAGCACAAATTCATGGGTTGCTAATTGCTTCTTTCAAAGGGCTCTCCTGGAATTTCTCTGCCATATGAATCTTGAGTGCTGCATCTCAATAAAGGCCACTAAGTACATCCACAAATATGTCTTCAAAGGCCATGATCGTGGAACACTCACTCTTGATCAGCAAGATGAAATACAGCTTCACATTGACGGCAGATATATTTCGGCTCCAGAGGCCACATGGCATCTATTGCGATTTGAAATGCATCTTGAATTGCCTACTGTTGTGCGCCTACAACTGCATCTTCCCAATGAGCAAACTGTTGTTTTTGATGAGGACCGGGATGCTCTACAAATTTTGCAGCAGGCAGCAAAGAAGCAGACCACTCTCACAGCTTACTTTAAAGCTAATGCAGACAACCTTACTGGGGCTCGGGAACATCTCTACCAGGAGTTTCCACAAAAATTTGTTTGGAAGAAAAATCGTGATGGCCATGCCTGGCACGTAAGAAAGCAGGGATTTGCCATTGGTCGCATGTACTTTGCTGGACCCCAATCAGGCGAGCGGTTCTATCTTCGTACACTCCTTACTGTCATTCGAGGAGCTACATCGTTTGAAGATTTGAGAACTGTCAATGGGGTCACATATGCTACATTTAAGGAGGCCTGCTCTGCACGTGGACTTTTGGAGGATGACAATGAGTGGATCCAGTGTTTGGAAGAGGCCGCGGCGATGCAAACTGGCCATCAGCTTCGGCAGCTGTTTGCCAGCATTCTGAAGGAGAATTTACCAGTAGACCCCCTTGCCCTTTGGGAACAATTTAAGGCAAATCTCTGTGATGATGTCCGTCACAAGCTGATCCAGAAAGGGTTTGCAAATCCCCCTGAAGAGCAGATCTATGATTATGGTCTGTACCTATTGGATTCAATTCTGCAGGGTTCTGCCAAATCTTTGAAGGATTTTCCTCCTATGCCAGAGCCTGTTGCAAATTGGGCACAGATAGAGG